CTATATAAGCACAAACTCTCTATAAGCACCAAATTCTTAAAACCAAGGGTGTGATTATAGAGAGGTTTGACTGTATATCTTTTTTGTTAAACAACCAATCAAATTATAGAAAATTTAACCAATCAAAATTTAATAAATTAAAAAAATCAAAAATCAACTTTTTAAAATATTTAAAATTTTTAAAATTTGTAATCTCAAAATGGGACATTTCCATCTCTAAGTGTTCTATACTGTAACAGATATAAAATTTTAATACTTCCGATTAAAATAATAAAGGTAGGATCGCCAAAAAAAAAAAAAAAAAAGTTTTCTTTAAGCGATTTTACTATATATTATATCAATAACACTAATATAATCACTCACCCAGTTTTAACAACCTTTTGTTCACCCACGTAATCATAAACCGTAGATTGATTTTTAACCGATTTTGGCAGGTTATCGGTTTTGACAGGATCGGTTCTAAGAGAGCCGACTGTATTTTACTGATCAACATATTTCAAGCATTGAAGAAGTTCGTTTTGATTGGCTAAAATTAGAATAAATATGATTGGCGACGATCATTTATTTATACAATCAATTATAATTTTTAAAATACTTTTATTAGTAAAAATCGTCACGCCATATAAAAAAAATTTTTTGTAATACGTGGCGAAACAACGAACTTAAGCAACTGGTTTTTCACCTTTAAACCTACTGTTTTTTAATGATACAGTGAGATACAAAAGATCAAGAATCTAAATAAGAAGTGAATATTTTGAAGGGTCGGAAGGTGGTTCGGCGACTAAGTAATGAGTAAGTGAAAATTGAGAGATTTTGTTTCGACTGGTCTTGTTTACCTTCTACAAATAAAAATACTATTTTGAACTACTATTCTAAACCTTTTTGTTGTATTTATTTAGGTATATAGTTTATGAATATAACGTTTATGGATACAAGAAGTTGTAATAGTGGTAGTGTTTAGAATCGTTGAGTACGCGTAATAGATGTATTGCGAAAGTTAAAGTGTTTTTTGTAAAATGATATACCTATCGCGAAATAAATAATACAGATATATACATCGTGAAATTTGAATTAAAACAGTTATTATTAAACTGATGAATTAAAGTACTGTAAAAGCGTCTTTAGAGTCCGGGTATAGCCGATAATCTATCCGGGGTATGATCTACATTTTTTCCGGGCATTATAACAACCAATCAAAACGAACTTCTTCAATGCTCATATTTCATACTCCGGACTTATACCTGTAGTTAATACATATATTTCTGGTTTTATACTGTATTTAATGTCGATATTTTCTGGTGGTAAATGTGCACCAGAACTACCGTCAAAAGGGTGTTTGCTCACAATACAATAATAATGTGTTAAATTTTATTATGTTTTCTGCGTAATAATAATAGATTTTTAGAGGTTACGTATTCAACCGTTTTGACCGCGTTGTAAACTTTTGACCCGGCTGAACCGTTTTGACACGGGTGACCCGGTTTACTATAACCCGGTTCTAAGCTCTATTGTTATGCAGCGTATCTGTTAAATGTCCCTCTAACTAAATAGCTTTCGGTAACTTTACAATCCCCTTTCTTGGAATAAATTGATTGGATTGCTTTGGATTGTTTGGTTTTCGGAGGCGCCACAGAACTACTTGCACTTACTTGGGAATCAGTAGCAAGTTTCTTAGATGGCTGAGGACTGTTGTCATCATTCTTTCGTTTATTGCTACTGGTAGAAGGGGTTCCATTTTTTTCATCAGAATTGTTTAAAGTGTCTTTTTCTTGTTCTGCCTTATTTTTCTTTTTTTCTTTCTTATCTTTAGCCTTTGCTCTTTTTTCTGCCAAATTTGCCTTCAGCCTTTCTTGTTCAACAGGATCTGGATTTATTGTAATTACGTTATCTTGCTTAAAAGCCTTACCACACTATATAAATAAGCACGAAGATTAAAATCAGCTTTGTAGTGACAGCTAAAAAAAATATATGAAAACTAAATATTGAAACATAATATTACCTGAATACATGCTTCGCTTGGTATTTCCTTTAAGATTTGCTCTGAAAATACACAGCCACATGTGTCCAAATATACAAACTTCAGTTTGCCGTTCATTTCTTTCATAGAAATAGGACAAATAAATCTAGATACCATTCCTTGTTCGAAATGAGCAACACTTGCTGAAGATTCTTTAAAGGCTGGGTTAGGTGCAATATTAAGCGTCTTTACGTCCTATTGAAAGAAAGTTGAGTATAATGAATTGTAAATATATTTGAGAAACTGTATGTATACCTTTATGCTTGTGATGTGTGAGCAAATCACATCGCCATCACCATAGGCACTTTTGTTTAATAGATATTCTAATACTGCATCTTTGTTATATAACTTTCCAAGTGCACAAGCGACAACGGGAACTTGTAAAGGTCGCTAAAAGATAAAGAAACTTTTAATCATACGCATCTAGGCGAAGAAATAAAATTTATAAAAATGCATATACATACCTTCGATAACGCGCAAAAAAACCACATGGCAACCTTCAGAGCATTTTGATCTGGTCGAGCTTCCTTTTGCTTTTCCTTAACAAGTTCAATACGTTTAGGGATTGAGCCTCCGTCATTACCCATTTCTGAAATCGAAATAAAAATTGAATTGACTTGAGTTTGTAGTACGAACTATCCGGGCGTATTTATTGATAAATATTGCTCACGTCATCTTAACGTTATTAGTAAGCGTAGATCAAAAATGCTACATATAAAGTCATGTGATATTTAAGCATCTGTTCACATTATACAGTCATCAATTGCTCGGGTAACTTATTTATGTAGTTAAAGTACTTCGAAAAAAAATTTATGTTCACTATGCAAAAATAGTTAGGGTCGCGAATTTTACTAAAATTTTTTAAGGTGCATTTTTTTACCGCAGGTACTTATACACCGGATCTAAAAATAATTTTTCGCTGATTCCTATACTGAAGAACCTCTCTCCTAACTAAGATGTCAATAGCACGTCCGATAACAATAGCGGAAAAATTCTAAAAAAAAGTTGATAATTATATTTGGAATCAGAAATGATAAAAAAAATGTAATATTATGTTTACATACCTTTTCAAGTTCTTTGATTATTCGTTGTGTGGAAGTTCTTGAACCCATAGGAATGCGGCTCTTGATCTCTTTTTCAACAATTTTCAATTGACGCGCCACTTCTGCTTGAGACATACCTTCAACTAAAAAATAATGATAACATCTTGAAATAATGACTTTACGAATTATACAAATAATAATTCAAAGCTTATTATTACCTTCTCCCGATTGTAAAGCATCCATGGTTGAATGTTTAAATAAGCGTATCGCCTCATCAACATGCTGTTCCGTTACACGCGGCGACAAAGTCATCTTAGCTAAAGATTCAGAAATGCGGACTATTGCTTCCAATTGTCTATTAAAAAATGATCACCATTATTGTTGTAATCTTAAAATTTGAAAATGCTTATTAATCCATATAATACCTAACAGTAATAGGAATAGAAGAACGAACGTTGCTTTGTTGCTCCATATGCTTCACCTCAGAGCGTATGTCAACAAAATGACTGCTCAACTTTTCTGCAGCTTCTGAGGACAAGCGTGGTGCACAATTTCTATAAACAAGAAAAGTGTCGGCTTAGTAGTGAATGTAATCTTAAACCGGATTCGTTTATAAATAGTATTCATTAATTACAGCCTCGCATATGCAATATATTTCTTCATTTTAGTTATGTCTATTTCGCCAACAGCAGATTCCGGAGGAGCTCGGTGCATATGTACACCCAGAACATGTCTGGCAATTTCCTATAATTTTAATGAAATGCATAAGAGCGCAGAATTTACAGCAGACAAATTAGTAATAATAATATCCTGATCCGTTGGAAACAAAGTTTCCGTTTATTCACATACGGTCAGAGTTAGAGTTTAGAACCGGTTTTATTTTTCATATGGTAAAACCGGTTTTAATCGGTTTTTACATATGAAAAATAAAACCGGTTCCAAACTCTAGTCAGAGTATTATTAATTAATCCTCCTGTGATCTTGATATAGTGATCGGGGATTATAAAAATTATTACCCGATCCCTCGCGTCATTGTGCTCATCCTTTACGATAAAAATCATATCAAATCTCGATAGTATTGTTGTTTGAAAATCAATGTTCTAAAATGTCATTTATTTTAGTTATGCAAGTAGGTTGTTTGATTACCTATAAATTCACTTACCTCTCCAGGTGTTTTCATGTCGTCATAGCGACCAAAAATGGGATTTGCAGCAGCCAGGACCGATGTACGTGAATTAAGAATGGTAGTTATGCCAGCTTTGGCAATAGAAATAGTTTGTTGTTCCATTGCTTCATGAATAGCTACTCGATCTTCGTCTCTCATTTTATCGAATTCGTCTATACATATTACACCTCCATCTGCTAATACCATCGCTCCTCCTTCTAGACGAAACTCTCGCTGTTAACGTAAAGTGAATTCAAGATCAAAATTTATTCTTTCTATAAACTTTTACAAATAAAAAGAAAGCCTTACTGTAGCAGCGTCACGAACTACAGCAGCTGTAAGACCCGCAGCACTGCTGCCTTTTCCTGACGTATAAACAGCTACTGGTGCAACCTAAATAAAATATAACTTATTAATTTAAGCATAAACTATCTTTATTTGCACCATATTACAAACCTGATGTACAAATTTTAAAAATTGGCTTTTAGCAGTACCAGGATCACCTAGCAATAGAACATTGATGTCGCCTCTGAGTTTCATCCCATCAGCCAGAACTTTTTTGCTGCCGCCAAAGAGTAAACATGAAATAGCATGTTTTATATCTATGAATAATTATTAACAGAATTATTTTATGACTTGTGTTTTCATTTCTAATAAAAAAAAAAAAAAACCTCTGTTTCCGAAAATGGAGGGTGCGATACTATTGGTGAAAAAATTATAAAAGTCGGGTCTCCGTGACACTGCAATGATTTCTTCTTCCTCTGCATGAGTAAAACTACCCAATTCTTGTCCAACTTGATCAGTGTCAAGTTCAAGACCAATGGCTCGTATATAAGGTATACGGGTGCCAATACCATGGCTTTGTTTCTGCAATAAATATAAAAGATTAATAGATCAACTTGATTTAAACTACTAAATTTTGTGAAAATTACCTTGGATGAACTATTTTGGAAAATGTCATAAATTCCTATGATCGTAACACGTCTCCCAGGGATAACTTTATTGGTTAAATATCTTTCAAAACAAAATAAGTATTAATAGGTGAAACCTTAGCTTTCTCTATATGCATAAGGAAAATTGTACCTGTCTACGTGTACCGTTATGTGACGTGGAAGATCACCAACCGGAAGTAACTCTGGTGATTCTTGGAGCTTAAGAATTTGCTGGTCTACAAACGTGCATTTATCATGAATTACAACGTACGGATCAAGTCCACAGTCCTTGGGTCCAATCCCAGATGGATCACTATAAAATGATCATATAAGTTGAAGGATCGCAAAATTGTTATGATTAAGTAGTATTACCTATCGCAGGCTCTTGGGAGCTGGATTCCTGAAAAACCACCGGGGACTGGAAGCATTTTGCATTGCCGGCATGTTTTGCACATTATCTGAATGTTAGTCGCTTTAGCAGACAGATTCGTTGCTGCAATGATAATGCCCGAAACACGAACAAGCTGAGAAATATGTTCTGACTGCATATAATTTTTAATAAATAAATGAATAAATGCGACGATTATTAAATATTTTAAATACTTAATGTTATTAAACTTTTAATATCTTACGTTAAGTTTCCGTAAATCTTGAACTGTTTCATTAGAACGAAGCAAAATTTGGAACGTTGGTATTGTATCATCTTGCAGAAGTTGTTTAGCTAAATTTTGTACCGCAACCTCAAACTTGAAAATGTTCAAAGGATCATGGTCACAATATGAACGTTTAAATGTTTATATACGAATATATTTGTCACCTACCAACGGCAAAAGGTCGGCTGGGCATGTTTTCAGCTTGTCAGAAAGTGCGCGGTCAGCACCATCAAGGTGTTCTAATTGAACCACAAGGTTGTAGTTGCGACCCTCAGCATTACGTTTGATCTTTTCTCTGTACGAATCATAGAGTCACTAACGTAACGATAGCAATAAAAAGCATTTAATGGATTATACCTGTAAATAAAGTGTTCTTCCAGACGAAATTGATCAACAAATTTAAAGAGTTTTTGTTCAATGACGACGCGCGAATCGCTTGGAGTCTTGGACGCGTGTACTCCAGCATGATAAACAATTCCAGTATCCCACCCAGTAGCTGACATCGAAATAACTTTTGACGATATAAATAATTCAACTGACAAGAACAAAAAAACGCGAATTATCTGTTAAAGGAACGATACAAGACCGAGGATGTCGCGTGAGCACGTGCTCTTCCATTGCGCGAATATAAAATTACTGGATGAACCTCACGTGGTGTTTCAGCTATCAGTTGAGATAGAAGCTACATAAAGCATTTTTGTAACTCTATCCAGCTTTTCTTAAAATATATAAAAATGATGGATAAGGTCAATATTTTTTGCAGTATCGCTAACGCGCATGATTCATAATTTACTAACTATTCTGTCTTATAGACATTAGTTAAAAAAGAAATTGTCGTAGTAACTGAACAGGTACGTTTGAACCTTTTTGTCTTTTTTTCACTTGCAAACTATAATAAATTCTTACTCTTTCTTTAGGAGGTTGCAAAAAATACAAAAGCAACTAAAGAGCCACCTAAGGGTAAATGGCGGCAGTGGAAAGTTTCAATATATGCGACCGATGACACCGGGGAAAAGTGTCCTCTGACTTTCGTCGAAAAAGTAGAATATAATTTGCATCAAACATTTTCTAAACCGCGACAAGGTCTGTTTGATTATACTTAAGATTATATTACTTTTCTCATAGAAGCAATCGACTTTGACTATGTCTTAGACACTAGTGCATAAAGGAGCATACAAACATTTAGTAATTTGATAATATGAATGAATAGTAATAAGTACTTACTAGTAATATGAAATTAATTTTAGTTTTTCATAAGGCACCATTTATGCTCACTGAAAATGGCTGGGGTGAGTTTGATATGAAAATTGTACTTCATTTCGTGGATAAGAGTATTGCGCCCTGGCCCATATACCATGACCTCAATTTCCAGAAACCTCTTTATGAAGTCACATATATATTGGTAAAATAAGAAATGTTTCGCGTGGTTTTCTTGGAATGTATCAATACTAATTGAGTCATGGTATTGGACAGGAATTTCTTAATCCTGGTCCGTCTTTTCGTAAATTGCTGTTTCAAGAGATACCTCTTGATTCACCGGCCTCTCAAAAAACCACACCTAGCAGACAAAAAAAATCCAAATCTTCAAAATCCGTGTCCAAATGGCAGAAAACAGATTCACCGGTCACTTCATATGAATCACCTCAATCTTCACGTTCTTCATGTTCAATAGGCGAATCTACAAATGACAAGGAAAACTTCCAAGTGCGTTTATTATATCATATTTATTTCAGGTTTTCATAAATTATAAAATGGTATTCTAATTTTGCAACTTTTTTTTATTATTTACAACTTTTGAAGGTGGATTATAACAAGTTAGCCAAAAATCTTTACGATTTGGAAGGGGATGATATTCTGGAGGTTATACATCTTGTAAAAGAGCATCGAACAGGTGACATGTATATTAACGAAGATATTGAAGGTAGGCATTTAAAAGATGTGAACTCGCCAAACTTGTAATATTTATGATTAAAAAATTTGTTGTGGTCATAGGAGAATTTCATCTAGACCTACATACTCTTGGAGATAATTTACTGCAAATTTTATGGGATTTTACAGAATCAAGACTTCTGAAAACTAGAGTTTAGAACCGGGTTATAGTAAATCGGGTCACCCGCATCAAAACGGTTCAGCTGAGTCAAAAGTTTACAACTTGGGTCAAAACGGTTGAATATGTAACCTCTAAAAATCTATTATTATTACGCAGAAACATAACAACATTTAACACATTATTATTGTATTGTGAATAAACACCCTTTTTTTCTTGATAATTTTATCTATGTTCAATTCCGCTAATCCGGATTTAATACAAACTTTTGGAGGCTACTATACGGACTATCTATTGTTGCGAAATTTTATCAAACATTTTCCTTTGTATAAACCTTCATTATTATTTTCTTTGCTTAGCTAATATGTAATACATAGTGTTCCATTTACACTACCCTATTTAGGACATAGTTATGATAGAAATTTAACATGAGCCAAATCATTTGATTATGTATATTTATAAGAGATGAATTTTAACGTAAAAAGATGAATTTTAGCAGTAAAAAGAGATTGATTTAAGTCGGGGAGATGGGTTTGACGTGATAATTATATTGGTTTTGGGTTCAGTTTAATAAATGCGTCATATGGTTGACGTATATACGTATCATTAATAGGGGTTTTTAATTTTTGCCTGATTCCAAAAATGCGACACGTCCGATAGTACCCTGGCAATTCGTAGTGCTGGGGTTTGGTCATGTAACGTGATTGCGTTGTATGAATTGCGTGATCGTCGATAGAGAGTGATGCATAACTATAGTATAACTTTAAATTTTTTAAGGGTGTGTTCAATATCCCAAAGATCAAAAGCCTAATAGTCCCCAAGGTATTCAGCATCCAAACCAGAAGGGTTATGCTGGAAACAAGTCTGTAGAAGTAGCCAATGTGCACTCCTAAGTTAGTAGAAATGGAGAAGCTGGACTATACAACTGTAAAACTTACAAGAAGAACCTCACATACTCTCATTGATCCATCATTTTTTTTTGAGGAAATTTTTGTAAAAAGTGGGTATTTTAGCTTATACCTTCCAAATGATCATCATCATGTGTATTAAACAAGTCAGCATTGTTTATCTTCCAAATTGGAACAGAATAACAAACATGTGTATACATGTGCTTCGAATACCATACAAATGATGTTCTGAGACTCAGCTCTGACTTCTCTAAAACTAAGCTGGTCGATGAAGTTTTTCTTATTGGGTTTTTATTTTGATATACTAGATAGATAAATATAGAAGTAGAGATTAATTTGTCTAGTGTCTAGTATGTAATTTTTAAACTTTGGCATGAATTATAATGCAGTCAAGACTCACACTTAATAATAGTTCATTAATTTGAATTAATCTGTATAGTTAGAAGTTTTTATCTGATTAGCAGGTTTTCTTCTTTTTAGCAATAGTTTCTTTTAGGTTTTTAGTTTAGTTTTTTTATACTTCTTAATATTAGTATTAATGTATTAATTTTATTTTTTACTTCTTTTTTTCGTTTTTTATTATCTCTTTTTTTTTCTTTTTTTCTTCTTTATGAGAAAGTGTCATCAGATTGGCAACTTTCTATTGTAGAGTAGAAATCTTGATGGGGTGGTGTAATAGCTAATTAATAAATCTGGGAGAAATAAGTTTGAAGTAAGTTCTGGATCTTTGGAGAAGACCAATCGTTTACTAAACAGGTTGCATTTGAATATAACACAGCGGTTTAATAGTTCACCCTGACTGCAAGTGGATGTTATGGCATCTGTGAGGTAAAGCTGTGGATGAGTTTATTTTTTGGTTGAAACATTATAGATTTAGATTTCTTTATATATAAGAATAAAAGTTTGTTTCCAGAATAAAGTAAACAGGATTGCTGAAAGAAAAAAAATAAATAAATAAACAGATTATATAATAAATAAATAATTAAATAATTATATGAATGAACAAATATACTCAATTATATTAACTAATCAAAGTTATATGCTATTACAAAAAAAGTAATCAGTTAAATAATGAGATAATTGGTTAAATACAAATCTTTTATATTTAAAAATATTATAAAATAACTATTAAATTATTATAAAGTATTCTGATTAATACTGTAAATCTTTATCTGTACTTTTTATTATAAAAATAAAGGCAAACAAAAAATCTGTGCCAGGTTTTGTCGATCATTCGGTACATGACCAATTTCGGACATATGATTTATACGCCCCTGCATGTTTGTGAAACTTGCACCTGTATATATTTGTGCAGCATAAATTACAGTATATTAAAAAATAATATAAAATATTACGTGAAAAACTTTTATTTATTTCTTTAGTAAAATATATTAGAAAGATCGTATTCTTAATTTTCTTAATTTGCAATATATTAAATTTGATTAATAAAAGAGCAGTTAATGTAAATTACATAAGAGTATTATATTAATATGACTAAATATCTGTGATTTAAAAATATAACAAATAGCCAGAAATGTATGTATATATATGCCGCAGATGTTAAACCACTTACATTTTACTATATAAAACGAATTACAGGACTTTGAGCTAGTTAAATATATAACATTTCTAGTTAAATTAATTGATAATTATGTACTTCAGAACAGAAAGATGAATTAAGATATAATAGTATTTGTATAACTAACTTATAGAACTATAGCATTTTAATTAAAATAATATGAAAATATATGAAAGTATAAGCATAGTGAAAAAGTATACATGAGTTAATATGAAAAGTATACTGTATATATGAAATATAAAAGTTAATTTAAATTAAATATACGTGTATCTGTATAATCAATATATAAGTTTCACATAAATTAAAATTGTGTAATGAAAATAATGTAATGATAAATGAATATAAAAGGTTGAAAAAAAAGTTGCACTTCTTATTAAATGTAAAAAAATAAATAAAAAGAAATCGAACGCATATACCAGCTGTAGCACAAGACCTAAGAAACTTGCAATAGAGTTGTTGGCACAAGACATTGTACGAATAGTAAAGGCATGTCCTGAGCTAGACTATATATTACGACAATTTACCAACCATATAGGCTTTAGCTTTATATCGTTAAACTTTGACTTGACGCATAACATAATGGAACGATCATCTGATATAGAAATGTCAAAAAATATACCAACATTTTCAGAACTATTAGCATCGTTACCAGAAAGTGCTGTATCTATTCTTCCACAATATTATATATCGTTAAACCTCTCCTTGACATATGACATAATAGAACAGCCACTTAGTATAAAAATATTAAATATTATACCTATATTTTCAGATCCATTAGCAGAATCATTGCCAACACCTATTATTCCACATAATCATATAAAGGGGAGTCAGTAGAAATGGGACAAATTTTTTCTAAGTAAAAGTTTTCTTAACTTTAAATTTAAATATCTTGTCAACT